AGACGAAAGACCCATGTTCTATTGAAATATTTTACAACTATTTGCAGCTTGAAAAATATTAAGTGCAACTCTAAATGATTTTGTCTCTCATCTTGTTAACCTTAATCTACTTTTGAACTTTGGACATATTACCTTTTGTTAACATTTTTCAGTCCTTTTTGCTTTTGTGTAGAGCTTGATTCTCTGTGTTCTGTGTATTAATTTAGTTATTTGGATTTATGTCTCGTCATTCTGCTGTCTCAAACAAAGCATCAAAATACATTCATTATACATATTTAAAAACAAATATGTGTTGTACGCTAGATCCAGAGGGAAATATAAAATTAATTTGAAAAAGGAAAAGAAATTTAAGTTCGCCAAATGCTTAGAATTCTTTTCCAGATTCATGAAGAACAAATGTAAAATGCTACATGTGATTAACAAAATGGTTATTATTAAATTAAGACTTTTTTAAAAAAAGAAATATAGCTTGAGCTGTGTGGCAATTACATGATATATATATATATATATATATGTAAAAATTCGTTGAGCTCTCCATTACTGTTTGTGCATTTTACTTTAAGTAATATCTCAATTTAAAAGTTTCAAAAAGTGATAATTGATTCATTGAGCTTTAATTTGTATACTTTTCTATATGCATTATATACTTTAAAAGTCCATTTAAACACTTCACACCCATTAGGATGGCTGTTATCAAAACAGAATCTAACAAGTGTTAGTGAGGGTGTGAAGAAAGTGGAACCCTTGTACACTGCTGGTGGGAATTTAAAATGGTTCAGCCACTATGGAAAACAGCATAGTGGTTCCTAAACAAATTAAAAATAGAGCTACCATATGATTCAGCAATTCTACTTCTGGGTATATACCCAGAAGAATGGAAATCAAGGACTCAAATAGTTACACACCATATTCATAGCAGCATGATTCACAATAATGAAAGCAACTCAAATGTCCATCGACAGCTGAACTGATAAAAATAATATGGTATGTACATATAACGTAATATTATTCAGCCTTAAAAAGGAAGGAAATTCTGTCCTTTTGTGAAATAAGCCAGTCACAAAACAACAAATACTGTGTGATTCCACTTATATAAGGTCCCTAGAGTAGTCAAATTATCATAGAAACAAAGTAGAATGATGAGTGCCAGGGGTTGGGAGAGGGGGAATGGGGAGTTAATGTTTAATGGGGACAGAGTTTCAGTCTTGGAGGGTGAAAAAAAATCCTGAAGATGGATGGTACTTAATACCACAAAATAGTACACTTAAAAATGGTAAAATTTATGTTACACATTATATCATAATTTTTAAAAAGTCTACTAAAAAAAGATAAGTGATAAAAAAAAATGAGGATTGGAGTGGTGAGGGGGCGCTCCTGGGCTCCCGGAGAAAGCTTCGGTTTTAGCCTGTTAACCTAAGTGGATTAGCACATAAAATGAGGGCTTGGCAGTAGTAGCAAAGGCTCCAGGCGAGGATAGTTATCCGCCCCCATAAAGAAAGCCGTTTGGGCAATATCTTTGCCTCCATGACGCAGGACACTGGCAAGGGGACGGGAAGATACACTCCGCCAGCTTAGGATGCCTCAGTGACTGTGCAGTAGCAGCACCTCTGCCCCATCAGATTCCTGTGATTGCCGATCTGAGAGGTGCTTCAGCCAATCAACTGTCGGTCCAGGAGGGCTTACGCACCCCGCCCCAGCACGTTGACAGCCACGTGGACAGCTGCTGGGAGCGCTACTGCCCTCTGTAAGGCGCGCCTAGCTAAAGCGCACGCGCAGTTAGTGTTGCTCAGCTGGGGCGTGGGTGAGGACACCCGTGGTTGGTGGTGGGGTCGTCATCTGGCAACCTGGCTTCAGATCTCCCAATGTCCATTCCCCTCTTGGGGCAGTTACAGCTCTTATTTTCTTATCTTCACAGAAGTCATTCAAACACCAGCCTTTACCTATTTTTGTATTTATTAACACAGATCACAACAGCATGTGTTAAGTTTGTAGATCCTTTAACATACAGCTCTCAAAACAACGCTAAAGAAAATAGCAGCTTCACAGTGGAGGGTCCTGGCAGAACCACTTTAACCAAGAGACCAAGGTTAACATCACCAGCGATGACACATAGTGACATCATACCTCCCCCTCAGAAGGGAACATCACCTCTGTGGTATCCTGGTATCCTTCCTAGCAATGCAAAAACCTTAGTCTAATCAAGACAAACCAAATTGAGAGACAGTCTACAAAGTTATAAACCAATACTTTTCAAAGAGTCAAGGTCATAAAAGACTAAGGGACTGCCACAGACTGGAGGAGTCTAATGAGACATGACAGCTAAATGTAATGAGGAATCTTGGATTGTGTCCTGGAACAGAAAAAGAATATGAATAGGAAAATGAGAACTCCAAGTCTGTAGTTTATTAATAGTATTGTACGAAGGTTAATTTCTTAGTTTTAATAAATGTACTATGGTTAGGTAAGATTAACAGCAGGGGCAGCTGAGTGAAGGATATATATGCTATTTTTGCAACATTTTTGTAAGTGTAAAATTATCTCAAAATGAAAAGTTAAAAATAAACCTATGAAGCAGTCACTATTAATATGCCCATTTTCCAGAGGAGGAAACTGAGGCACAGAGATGTTAAGACACCTGTACAAGGTCACACAGCTAGGAAGCACCAGGGTAGGTCTCAAACCCATGGAATATGGATCCGGATCCCCCACTTGTAACCACAGCACCACAGTGCCTTTATTTAAATGAAACAAAGTGCTGCATATTCTGCCTTCATATTTGTCTATCTCACTTGTTCCCTGTTGATGAGCTATATGGTGGCTTGTCATTAAAAGGCCACTGTAATAAATGTTCTTGCACGTATGTCATTCTTCACACCTACATTTGTACTTCTTAGGACTATTCTAAAAAAAAAAAAAGATTTGCTGGTTCAGAAAGTATATTAGATAAGACAGGGTTCTCCAGAGAAATGCAATATATATGATTGATTCATTGTAAGGAACTGAGGCACATGACTATGGAAGCTGAGAAATCCAAGATCTGAAGTAGGCAAGCTGGAGACCCAGGAGAGCCAATGGTGTAAGTTCCAGTCAGAATACTGGCAGGCTTGAGACCCAAGAAGCACTGATGTTTTAGTTCCAGTCTAAAGGCAGAAAAAGACCAATGTCTGAAGGCACTCAGGCAAGAACTGTCTCTTACTCAATGGAGTGGGTCAGCCTTTTTGTTCTATTCAGGCTTCCAACTTGAATTGGAAGAGGCCCACCCATACTGGGGAAGGCAATCTGCTTCACTCTGTTACCAATTCAGATGTTAATCTCATCTAAAAAACACTCTCACAGTCACATCCAGAAGAATGTTTGACCAAATATCTGGACACCCTGTAGCCCAATCAGGTTGACACATAAAATCGACCATCAGAAAAGGTAAGGACACTTGTTATTTTGAAAGCCATTGACAAATTGCCCACTCTCATCAACAGTGTTGCCACAGCCTTGGTCAAGTATTTTGATTTTTGCCAATCTGATCATCACCTGTCCACTTTTTTAAAAGTGCTCTCTTGTTCAACTAGATGTTTTTCCTACAAAACTTCTTGCAAAGCTCACGCTGGACAAGGGAGTGGGCAGCTGTAGAATGGCCTGGAATAACTGCAACCACAGACTGTGACCCAACCCCCTCTCCATCTTCTAATTGGTCTGGGGAGGGTTGGAATGCAAATGCAAAGATGACCCCCACCTCAACTGTCCTACACCCAGGAGATGCTGGGAAACTGTGCCTTTTGTGTGTGGTTAGTCACCAATATTTTAGACAGACATGGGTTTAATTCCTGGCTCACCCACTTTAATTCTATTTACACACTGAGCATTTTTTGAGCACCTGCTGTTAACAGGCACTGTACTGGGCACTTGGGATAGACCAGTGAACAAGCAAAGTCCTGCCCCCATGGAGTTTCTCCTCTTCTTATAGTATGAGATAAATAATAAGCAAATAGATGATAAGAAAAAGAAAGCAGGGAAAGGAGACAGTGCGGAGGTGCTTTTTAAAACCACTTTAAAATGAAAGTTCTTATGGAGGTAGACATTTTATGCCTGGTGCAAACACTTAAGTAAACAGCTCCTCTCCCTCACCCCCACCTTCTCACAGTCAATCTGGTAGTAGGGGATGCTATTATTTTACGGCAGGTGGTCAGAGAGAGCCTCTCTGAAGAGGTGACATTTGATCAGAGGAAGTGAGGAGAGGTCATGTAGGCATCTTAAGGAAATGTGTCCAGGTAGAAGGAACTGCCCTTGCAAAGGTCTTGTGGTAGGAGCTTGCTTACCAGTCAGGAAATACATGTGGAAGGATCTGGGAGCAGTGTGGCAGTGGGAGAGTGGCTTGGCCTCTTTGAATCTCGAGTTCCCTTACCTATAAAGTGGGCCTAAGAGTTTTCACCAAGAGGGTGGTGGTGAGGATTAAATGAGATTGTGCCTGGCACAGTGCCTGCCGTGGAGTGAGCCCTCCAGAAACAGAAGCCATTAGGAACAACAGCTGCTTCCTCTTTTCCGGAGGGGGCAGCTAGGTCAGCAGGGAGATGGCAGAGCCGGGCTGCTAAGGTAGGCAGGTGCAGGGGGAAGGGCTTGTGACTCTTTCCCAGAGACTCACAGGTACAGAGGTGTATGTGTGTGTTCTGACAGTCACGAAGGTTTTAGGGGAGTTTTAAGGTTGGGAAAAAGCAGGGCTTTTCTTTCATGACTAGCCTAGACCCTTTGGAAAACTTCTCTACAAGATGCCATCTTTTCATTTAGACGGGAAACCTAGGGGCTGGGGCCTGGGAAACGCCAGAGGGGAGCTGAGGGTACTGCACACCAAGCAGCCAGTGATAGTGAAGTCTCCGGGGGTGTGGGCCTCGGGATGGCATCAACCCCCTCTCTCTGTCTCTACTCTCATCCACCCGGCAGAGACACAGAGACAGAATCAATACAGACATCGAGAAAGAAAAACAGTGGTCCAGAGATGTGGGACAGAAACAGGGACACAGAAATGGAGATATACTAGAGGAGACATGGGGGCAGAGAGAGAGAGACACAGGCAGTGTTACAGGCAGATTCATGGAGCCAGACAAAGGGTGAGACAGCAAAAGATTAAGCGACGCAGAGGGACGGACATAGAGCAACCTAGAGACAGAGCATCAGATACAAAGACACAGACCCAGATTTGTTCAGACAGAACAGACCCAGAAAGGGCCGCCCTCTAGGGAGACCCCCAGTTTGTCCTATCGGGGGGTGCGCCAACTATTCCTCCACTCCGCCCCCGTCGTGCCTGGGCCGTGACTTCAGAGCCCGCGACTTCAGAGCCCGCGCGGATTCTATAAATGGCCAAGCGGCCGCAGACCGGGAGGCGGGGCCGAGTGAGTCAACGTGCGCGTCACCACCACCGGGTCCCCGCCAGGTCCCACCCCCCATCTTGGGCCGCCAGGGGGCGCGGGCCGCGAGCTCCTCAGGGGCGCGGGTCCTCACATGCGCAGTAGCGACCTGTGGCCCGCCGAGGACCGTTCAGCGAGGGCAGAATACCGGGATCGGCGCGTTCGAATCCTGGCTCTGACACCCTCATGCTGTGTGATCCCTGGCAGTCGGCTTCTCCTCTTTGTGCCTCATATCGACCCCACCTCATAAGGTTGCTGTGATGAATAAGTGAACAGATCCACTGCACTTAGTACATAGCAGGAGTTAATTGTTAGCTCATTTATGTATTTGAGTGTCCCTTCAACATATTACACGTCAGACTTTGTCCATGGTTGCCTTAGCCCAGTCGGTCTCAAATGGGGGTGATCTGCCCCCCGCCTCTGATCATTTGGCAACATCAGGAGACATTTCTGTTTGTCAAGACTAAAGGGGTACTACTGGCATATATTAGTAGGTAGAAACCCTGGGATGCTGCTTAAAATCCTACAATGCCCAGGACAGCGCCTCTACAACACAGAATTATTTAGCCCCGATGTCAACAGTGCTGAGGTTGAGAAACCTGTCTTTGCCTCTTAGCATTAGGGGCAGGGACCTGGGTTCAGATTCTGCTCTGCCACTGGCAAGCAGTGTGACACCGGGGCAGTGATTCCACACTCCCATGCCCGTTTTCCCATCTTTAGATTGTGTGTAATAATAGCGTCCACTTCTGAGGGTGTTGTGAAGATTGATTGATACGTGTACAGCGCTCTCGGAACAGGGCCTGATATAAGGGCTGCTGTGATATTAGCATATCACAGCGGTGCCCTTAGTACATGGCCAGCAAATTGCATGTCCTTAACATATTAGTGTATGGCAGTTGTTGACATGTCATCCAAGTGTCACCAATGTTCTTGACATATGTGGCATAATGGAGGCATGTCATCCACCCCAGTGATCCAGAGGTGAGATCTAGCCAGGGCCTGGAACCTGTTAACACAGTTAACACAAGGCTCAGGCAACCCTTGGGTAGTTGGAGAGGTGAGATCCAGGATCTCTGCTCCCCCAAGATCTTATGAGGGGCTGGAGGGGACAGAAATGGGAACCAGATTCTCAGCAGAAATACTGCTATTCCCTGAGTCTTACCCTGGGCCCGGCACTGGGAAGGCAATTCGGAAGCCTTTTTTCTTCTGATCCTCACAACGCCCTCATGAAGCAGGAACTATCATTAGCCCATTTTACAGATGTGGCTGGCAACAGAGGCTCAGAGAGAAGGGCCTTACCTGCAGTTATGGTCTGTTATGTCTGGAGTTAAACCTAAGGTGGTGCTTGCTATGTTACCACGTGTGGCTCTCCTGCCTCAGGTTGGAAAGAGACATGGAGAGATGGCATCAGAGACACAGATAGCCTCAGAGACAGACACAAAGAGACTAGGAGACCCAGCCAGGGCTCAATGAACAGTGGGGGGTGGGGAGGAGTGAGGATAGGTTGGTCTCTGTCTGGCTAAGCACCCCCTCAAAGAATAACCCAGGCTGCCCCTCTAGGTGGAAACAATGACACAATCAGCTCCCAATACCAAGGCCCTGACATCACAAGGGGGCGGGTGGCCGAGGTGGGGGTGTCCCGCCCCTTGGCAGGCCCCTGTAGCCAATGGGATGGCCTTGGAAGAGGCCCGGGCCGCCTCCAGAGCTTCAAAAACGTGTGAGGAGGTAAGAGGGTAGAGAGAGCCTCGGCTGCCGCCACGGTCTTCAGCGCCACCGTCACCACTGCCCACCGCCGGCCAGCATGTCCTCTGCTCACTTCAACCGAGGCCCCGCCTACGGGCTGTCAGCCGAGGTCAAGAACAAGGTAGGTTTGGAAAGCCTCCCCTGGCCTGGCCCACATGCCCTGCCAGGCCAGAGGCCCCACTCTTGGGGTTCCCTGGACCCCCTCCTACCTAGTCCATGTGACATGGAACTTAAGAGGAAAGAGGGACAAGTATGCCATAGGGGCTGCCTTCCTGTCCCTCCTGAGCATCCCAGAGCCCTCAGCTTTGGTTGGGGGGTGCAGCGGGGGACACACAGGCAGCCACCGGTAAACAGAGGGAGTTGTTCCATTGCGAAGACCCCATTTGATCAAAATCCCCTGTTAACCCTTTGTTTTCATGGCAGCCTGGGGGAGGACTTGTTGACTTTCCCTACTCCCTCAGCCTGACAAAGAAGTTGGGGAGCACTTGAGAACTGGGGTTCCCGGGAGGTGAGGCCCAGAAAGTGTGGGAGATTTTGAAAGAAGGAGGAGACAGCTGAAGAGGGCAGAGAGTGGGCATTAGAAACATGGCAGGGGTCTCCTAATTTTGGAATTAAGAAGATACTGAGATACCACCTCCATGCTATGGATGGGTAGACAGAGGTTCAGAGAGGGGAGGCAAGTAGCTAGGCTCCTACAAAAGGGAGGTGCAGAGCTGGGACTCTGGACTCCCCTCCTTTACACCAGAATGGGGTCAGCTTCTCTAGGGCAGCAAATTTGAGGTCCCCAACCCACTGGAATGCTCCCTTGAGGCTCGCCAGGAGAGGGATCCCAGCCCCATTTGACAGAAGGGAACACCGAGGCAGAGAGTAGCTTTTGCCAGGGTTCCACGGAGAGGAAGTGGGGAGCTGGAATTGGAACCTGGGTTGGGAATCCTCATGGCTGGAGGAGGGAGCAGGTGGGGGGCGGGTGCTCGGGCTGGAGACACATCCCAGCACTAACCCTGCCCCCCCTTCCAGAGCCGGCCCCAGAGCTCAGCAGAGCCGCCAAGCCATATAAGGCGGCCTTGGGGAGCCCGGCCCGCGGGGCCGTGCTATATAAGGGCCGGTTTGCTTTATAAAGCCGGGCTGGTGGGGAGGCGGACGGCAGGGCCCGGACCAGGTGAGGGGGCCGCCCCCTCTCAACTCCCCCTCCCCCAGGAGAAGGGGGAGCCTTGTCCTCCAGCGGCTGGGAGCCTGCCTGTCTGGGCTGGGGGCGGAGGGTTCTAGAGAAACAGAGATTCTGAGAGCCTGAGACAGGAGAGAGACAGATGTGGGAGGGCGAGTCAGGAGGGAGATAAGGCTGAGATGGGGATAAAGGGGCAGAGGGGGGAGACAGTGAGCCCCACCCCCATCAGAGGCAGGAAAACTGGAGTCCAAGCCGGAGAGTGACCCCAGAGATGGACGAACCATGAGCCCCACCCCCAGCCAGACACGGAGAGATGATGGGGACTGGGGACGGGAAGACAAGGCCTAGGAAAGACAGGCATAACGTGAAGAGCGAGAGACAGAGGACATGGGGAATGGGGAGCGAGACAAGAGAAATGGACACAGTCAGTGCACAGGGCAGGAGTAAGACAAAGACAAGCCTGGACCCCCAGCCAGAGCTGGAGCCCGAGATGAGGACCTGGAGCAGTCCCCTGCGAGGCAGCATTCAGGGACAACCCCTTAGGTCTCCTCCCCCACTGCCTGAGGCACCCAGTCTTCCAGCAGGGGGGTAGAGAGGGGCAGGGCCAGAGGAAGCAAAGCCCCAAGTTTGGCCTGGAGGGGGAACCAGGAGGCCAGGCGTCACCCCCCAGCTCAGAGTATCCCCCTCTCCACCCACCCTTGTCTAAATTCTCTTGTGCCAAACCTCAGAATGCCCGGAATGGCCCCCTGGGCAGGTGCCACCTCAGTCCTGGCCCTGAGCCCCCTAAGCCTACCCCACCCCCCCACTCCCATGGACACTGTGGCAGAATTGCCTTAGTTGGGAAGGGACAAAGAAGGAGATCAGGCTTAGGGAGCGAAGCCTCTCCCCACCTGCATTTTCACCATCATGTCTGTGCCCCCCACCCCCAGCTGGCTCAGAAGTACGACCTCCAGCGGGAGCAGGAGCTTCGAGAGTGGATCGAGGGGGTGACAGGACGTCGCATAGGCAACAACTTCATGGATGGCCTTAAAGATGGCATCATTCTTTGCGAGTGAGTGGGACACTGGTGGCCTAGACTCTGCCTAGGGCTGCTCCCCAGCTGGGTACTCATCTCTCTCCCTCAGTCCCTCCTGGGTTGGGCACTTTATATCTCAAACCTTGAAACAGTCCTCTGAGGTGGCAAACAATCATTGTGCCCATTGAACAGGAAAGAAAACTGAGGCTCAGTTAGGTAAGACACATCATTCAAAGTCCCACGCTTTTCCAATGGAAATGGCTGCACATTCTAGCCTCTTAACCACCATGCATACAGGCCACACAGGCCCATTTAAGGCCTCTAGTGTCCCAAGAAAGAGTGGTCACAACTAAAAGACAATGGGCAACAACGACTATCCATCACTGACTTGGTGACACAAGGGATGTGCCACAGCAATTTAAGAACTTAAATCACTGAGGACGATGCAAACCCTCACAGCTCCCATGCCCCAATTCCAGATACAACCACAACCCTAATGCTGGGCGGCCTGAGCCCAGCAGAGGTCCTGTCTGCATCTCTGAGTCTGACCCAGGGCAGGGTGACCATGAGAGCCAGACTGTGCCCTTGGTAACGTTCCTGAAGGTGCAGCCTAGGTACTGGGAAAAGGGAGGGGAGGACAGGAGAGTATCTTTTTCTACCATATCCACAGGGGACAAGGAAGAGGGGGACAGCCTGGTGTCCCAGCTCAGACAGGGCTTAGGGAGCAGAGTGCAGAGCCACCCACGCTGTCCGTCTTTCTTGCACTAAGCATTTACGGAGCTTCTCCTGTGTGCCAGGTCTAGACACTGCAGATATTGAACCAAACAGCCTGGGAGCTCACATGGCGCTTTAGACCTAGAGAGGGAGATGGATCGAACAATCAGTGAAATAGTCACATTCTTGCCTGTGGTGGCAAGTGCCGTGGAGAAGGGTCAGTGGGGCAGGGTGGGGGCCAGGTGGAGTGAACGGTTGCTGCTTTGTATAGAACGATCTGGGAGATCTTTCTGAAGATGTAACGTTTGAGCAGAACCTTGGTCGAAGTGAGGGAGGGAGCAGGGTGAACATTGGAGGCAAGAACGAGCCAAGCAGAGGGGACAGCCAGTGCAAAGGCCCTGAGGTGGGCACGTGCCTTGTGTTCCAGGAACAGTGAGGAGTGGCCGGCACAGAGTGATCTGGGAAGTGGAAGGAATTAGCTGGGGGCCGATGACGTGGGGCCTTTTAGTCATGATAAGGAGTTAGGAAACCAAGGGAGCATTCTGAAGTGGGGAGTAACTGGAATTGTTTTGAAAAGGCCATTCTAGCTGCAAGATGAAGAGTCAGTAGGAGACGAGGTGGAAGCTGGGAGCCCACGGGGAGGCCATTGCAAGAGCCCAGGAGAGAGACACTGGGGGCTCAGAGCAGTGTGGTGGGAAGCTGTGGGCTTCTGGATGTCTTCAGAAGGAAGAGCAAGAGGCCTTGCTGAGGCACTGGATGTGGGGGTGAGAGAAGGCAGATGAGTGTCAAGGACAAGTCTGAGGGCTTTGCCTGTGCCCCTGGAAGTGTGGGTTTCCTAAGCCGTGGAGGAGGGAGGGAGTTCTGTCAATTCTCGCTCCAACTTCTCGCAGGTTCATCAATAAGCTCCAGCCAGGCTCCGTGAAGAAGATCAATGAGTCGACCCAAAATTGGCACCAGGTGAGCTCAAACTTTTTTTTAACTCTTTCAACCCCTGGCCACGGCCCCTCAGACCTTCCCTCAACCGCCCCTTATCACTGACTCCTCCAGCTGGAGAATATAGGCAACTTCATCAAGGCCATCACCAAGTATGGGGTGAAGCCCCATGACATCTTTGAGGCCAATGACCTGTTCGAGAACACCAACCACACCCAGGTGCAGTCCACCCTCCTGGCCCTGGCCAGCATGGTGAGTACGGATCAGGATGGGCACGGGGCAGGGGGGCTGTGGGCAGTCTGCGTTAGGATTTGAGTGAGGCCGTTCCTGTCCTTGAGCCCAGGGTGGGTGGGAGCTGGAGAGCAGGTCCTGGGAGGGAATAGTGCGGCCCAGGGGCTCCCTGTCAATCCCTGCCACCCACCTCACCCACCCCCAGGCCAAGACGAAAGGGAACAAGGTGAACGTGGGGGTGAAGTACGCAGAGAAGCAGGAACGGAAATTTGAGCCTGAAAAGCTACGAGAAGGGCGGAACATCATTGGGCTGCAGGTACTGTCCCTTTCTCACCTGCGTCTTCTGCTGCTGAGCCAAGGTGGGAGATCAAGCAGGCCAGGGAGGTGCCCTGGTCCCTGTAGGCTTTGGGGGACAGTATTATTTGGACTGAACTAATCTACATGCCAGGTACTGTGCTCTAATTCCATGCCCTAACTCACTCCTCCAAGAGCACTAGAGGGTGGGTACTGTTACCATCTTACCCTTTATACAGATGAGGAAACTGAGGCCTGGAGAAGCTAGCTCACTTGTCAGGATCATCCAGGTGATGAGAGGCCAGGCTGGGACTTGAACCCTGGAGGTCAGGCCCCCAGTGCTCTGAGCCACTTCCTGGGCTGTGATGCACCCTCTCTGGGCCTCAGTTTCTAGTCTGTAGCCCGAGGGTGGAAACAGTGCCTTGTTAGAGGGCTGTGTGTGTCCACTGACATCGGTACGTCTCATGGTGCGTGGTGAGGCTCTGTAACCCTTGAAGTGACTCTCCTTCTGGCTCTGTAGATGGGCACCAACAAGTTTGCCAGCCAGCAGGGCATGACGGCCTACGGCACCCGGCGCCACCTCTATGACCCCAAGCTGGGCACAGACCAGCCCCTGGACCAGGCCACCATCAGCCTGCAGATGGGCACCAATAAGGGAGCCAGCCAGGTGTGTGGGGGGCCAGGGGGCGGGCTGGCGGGGCCCTTGCCCCTTGCTGTGCCCACAGCCTAAACATGCTGCCTTCTGCAGGCTGGCATGACGGCACCCGGGACCAAGCGGCAGATCTTCGAGCCAGGGCTGGGCATGGAGCACTGTGACACACTCAACATCAGCCTGCAGATGGGCAGCAACAAGGGGGCCTCGCAGCGGGGCATGACGGTGTATGGGCTGCCACGCCAAGTCTACGACCCCAAGTACTGCCTGACGCCGGAGTACCAGGAGCTGGGCGAGCCCGCCCACAACCACCACCCACACAACTACTACAACTCTGCCTAGGGCCCTGGGCCCTCTGCCTTCCCCCCCGGGAGGCCGGCTGCTGCTCTCAGCAGGGCCCAGCCCGGCCCTGCTGACCCCTGCCCCCTGCATGGCGCCCTCCAGCCCCCTGGCACCTGCCTACAGGGTTAGCATTTGGGGGTAGCAAACTGGGAGTCTGGTGGGGGGGGGAAGGGGACCCTTCTCCCTGGAGCACTGCAGGGTCCAACATCGATCAAGCTGGGTGTTCCCAACAGCACCCAAAGGACGCACTGAGCAAAGCTACCCCAGCTGTCCCCCAACTCCCTCACAGGTGGGTTCCCCCAGGGCAAGAAGCCCCCCCAAGCAAAGCCCCCAGAGCCCAGGCTCTGCCCGCCCCCACCCCATTCCCGCAGTGGGAGCCAACTGCATGCCCAGAGACCCAGCGGACACACGCGGTTTGGTTTGCAGCGACTGGCATATGTGGATGTGACAGCGGCGTTTGTAACGTGAGCACTTTCTTTTTCTATTTCACTGGAGCACAATAAATGGCTGTAAAATCTGAGGACTCAAGCTGCTTTGTCCTGGAGCCTGTGTGGCTTTTGCACATGTGCAGACAGCCTTGCTCAGATATGCTCCATTGCCCGCACACACATCTGCTCAGGCACGCATACTCACACGCAACCTCAGATACACAAGCGGAACTCACAGCCACTTAGCTGGACCCAGGACAGGCACGCACTCACACAAAATCCACACACACACACCACTTGGTATGGTGTGTGTGCACACTCTCTGCAGCCTTAGGCACACAGAACTCACACACATGCAGCACACATTCCCACATAAAAAGACACACAATGCACACCCTCACATACGTACACAATACTCACACACATGCTCAAGCCCATGTATCTTCCCTGGGGGCCTATGGACTGCAGTGAGAAAGAACCCAAGTTCTGCGACAGGCTAGATGGGATCGGGTGACCTTGGATGAGTCACTTCCCCTCTCTAGGCCTGTCTGTCCGTCTGGAAAGTGAGGACAGCAAGCAGAGGGTCATGGGGAAGCTTAAATGACACCTTCAGATGGGATGACATTTGGTACTGACCAATGAAAATGGACAAGGCAGGTCCTGGAGGTCCCTGTGGTCAGGAGGAGTCCTTTAGTCCTGGAGTGGATTGTGAGGATGGGAGACAGGGCAGTTGGGGAGGATGGACACTTCAGAGACCCAGGGCAACGGCCCTTTACTGACTGGCACAGAGCATGCACCCAGCTCATTCTGCCCTCTTAGGGTTCATCCAGGTCTCACCTGCTAACCCAGGACCCTAGAAGTCTGTGAACAGGGCCCCAACCCTCAGAGGGGACCCTGTTCTGTAATGTGGGCCCCAGCCATCGTTCTTGCAAGCCATCAAACTGTCAGGGTTCCAAAGAGAGGATGCAGCCATGGAGGGGTCACAGAGCAGCCTTCTCCCCTTCCCTCCCCAGGGCAGGGGATGATGCTGGAATGTGGGGACCTACAGAGACAGACACCAGAAGACCCGCGTGCACAGATGCACACGGTCTCTGGGGCCTTATAAACCAGATTCCAGGCGCTCTCGGCCTGGCTACTGTGAGTCCTGCTCTCCCATGGCCAGCGTGGGAAGCCATACTGAGGAGGAGCCACGAGCCCTGTCTCCTCGGGAAAACAGCACCATATTAGCGCTTGGCCTGTGAGACCGGAGTGGGCGGGCTCTGGACGCCAGAGGAATGGGCCCCCTTTCCCTGGACCCTAGAGGCAACCCTCCCTACCATCCAGGCTGCTCTGCCCATGTCTGCTGGCTCCTGCCTGGGCCAGGGTACCTTACCTGGGGCCTTGGAGGGGAGGTGGGAGCAGCAGGAAGGGACGTGACAGGACAGGGTGGACCTCCAGAGGTACATGCCAGACCCAGAGGCTGGGGCTGGTGGTCAGGGCTTCCAGCCATCTCAGCATCTTCCTTAGCTGTTCACATCCCTCTCTACTTGGGGTAGGTTCCAGAGTTGCTCAAATCATGCCAGGCAACGTGCTAGGCGTCTCCACCCTCAGCACGGCCTCGGGAGGAAGGTTCCACCATCCTTCCCACTGTACCAGTGAGAAATCCAAAGAGGAGGAGCTGGGTCTGCCCCACGCTGCTGAGCATCAGGACCTCCATACCCATGAGACCACCTGAGGGCACCATGAGTTCCCAGCGCTCACCATCAGCCATATTCAGATGTGCGCTTTTTCCAACACTGCCAAGCAATGAATTCAATTTTGACACCGGCCACCTGGAGATAGTGTCAGATCCCCCAGGATAAAGGGTCGGTCCTATAGATGGCCTCTCCCCCACTGCAGCTGCCAATTACAAGTCCAGGTTGTCACCTGTACTTCGCACCAACTGGCTAGCAATCAAGGTTTCCCATCACCCCCTCCTCGGGTTTAATTTACTAGTGGCTCACAGAACTCAGAGAAGCATTTCACTTATTAGATTACTGGTTTATTATAAGAGGATATAACTCAGAACAGCCAGGTGGAAGCAATGCATGAGGCAAGGCACGGGGAAAGGGGCACAGAGCTTCTATGCCCTCTCCTAGCACCTCCACATGTTCGCCAACCCAGCTCATCAAATCTTGTTCAAGTTTTTAAGAGAACTTAATCTGCAGCTGCCCACTTCCTCTTCCCAGTGGTGGATAGGTGAGGCTGCCAGTTCCCATTCAATAATCACTCGGTCTTTCTGATGACCAGCCCCATCCTGGGTGATTGCTCAGGAGATTTCAAGGGTTTTAAGAGCTCTGTGCCTTGAACCAGGGACAAAGACCAATATTTATTGTAACACACACCTGCATCTAGCACCACCTCCAGCCTTCAAGACTTTTCACCACCCTTGGACAAAAGTGCCTTTTGTGGACTCTTCCTCTTCCGAGCTCCCCATCTCCTACAGCCCCCAGGAAGCCACGAGCTGTTTCCTTAGCCTGAACCCTGGGCTGTGCAGCCAGGTCTCCCAGGTTCAAGGACGAGCTGTGCCACCTTCTGGCTGTGGGGTCTTGGGCCAGTGACCTCCCATCTCTGGCCTGTTTCCTCATCTGTGAGCCTGAGGCACCTGCCTCACAGGGTGGCTGCTGGGACTCAGGGTAAGGCAGGCAAGCCTGAGAGCAGCAGCGTCTGGCACAGGGTGGCCCTTGAGCATCACTCCCTCAGGAAAGGCTAGGCCTGCCCTGACCCCCCGTTCCCCACTACAGGCTCTGTTGGCCCTGTTTCTCATTGGGACTAAGGACTTGCCCAGATGTCTGCAGGTCCGTCGATGTCCCGTGTGCCCAGCACTGCCCTGGTTTCACCTTGAATGCTTGTAGAGTGGACAAATGTTGGACAGTTTGAAGGACTGACCAAACCCCACTTCCAATGGCCTGCCAAGTTAGTCTCTCCCTCCCTGCTTGTTGAGCTCCTGGGGCTGACCAGAACCCAGGAAATCAGAGAGCAAGGAGTTTGCATCGGCTGCTTTATTTCAGGGTTAGTGACCAATAGTTTTCCCAGACCCGGCCTCTCCATCCTCTATAAAAGCAACTAAACACGAATCAGGGTTGCCCTACCAGGGCCCAGCCGAGGGGCTTGTGGCTTTGAATCCCAGGCCACAGGCCTTGGAAGGCAGGGAAGGAGGGCGGGCAATCCAGTTCAAATGGGTGAGTGCTGGGGAGGTGGGTGAGGAGGCTGGAGTCTCGAGGCTGTCTCTGCAGGGCTTGACCTCACTCAGGCTGTCAGGACATCGGCCCCAGGGGGAGCCAGGGCCTCAGAGCCAGGGGAGTCAGGGGCCAGAGGAGGAAGCAAATCAAAGGCTTTCGTAGCCAAAGGAGGCAGTTCAGGCTCCCAGGGCCTACCAACTCAACTCCCTCCCCTGTCCATGTGCATAACCCACGGCCACACTTGCAGCCACACAGTCACGCCCACAACACTCACCCACACCCACTATACACACACACACACACACAGAGCTGTGAGGGCCCTGGACCCACCCTAGACCCCAGGAATGTCTCTGGATTGGTACCCAGTGGGTGGGGCCACAGCTGTGGGGCTGCCAAGGGGGTGGGTCCTCTGTGTTGCTACTGATTGGCTGCCTCACAGGCATCTATCCAATCGCTATAGACATCCACTGGTTCTGAGAGATCTGAGCCACTGAGGTCAAGGGCAACTACTAGCATTGGACCCCTTCCACTATACACCTCATGCTGACACTGCTCATGCTGGTGTCAGCCAGACCCCAGCCCTTCACACTGTCCCCCCACCTAAGTCAGTGGGTGGCACCCATTTTCCTGCAGCCCTGCACCAGGGCACAAAGCACGTCCAGAGTTGCAGGGGCTGGATTTGAGGTCCTTTGCCTTTTGCCAGGTGTCCTTGAGCAGCCCCGACCACCCCACCCCTACCGCCTGAAAAAAGCCCAGTTTTTGAAGGATACATGTGATGGGCGTCTGGAATTCCTCTAGGCACACAGTACAAGAAATGACTCCGGTGTTACGGGCACGGTCCCTGTAACAGGAGATGGAGGAACTGGTGAGTGAAGAGGACTGTGTCTAGGGGGGAGCCACTTCCCCGACTGAGGTGGGGTAAGGGAGGTCCCCATCCCCCACTCACATTTTCACATCACAAGACTTCTCATGGTTGCAGAAGGGACAGGTGAACTGGGTCTCTAGGGTGCCTGTCATCTTCTTCTTCGGGGGTGGCTTCCGTTTTGACTTTCTGCGCCCCATGTCTGCAAGAGGGCAAACCTATGGGGGGAGGGGACAGAAGTCAGCGACTCATGGGACCCACGAGTCCCTCCAGATGCTCGTGGAAGCAGGCTGGGAAGAAAGCCTGGCTGGCCCATGGTGCAGGGAGGACTTGCACAATGGCACCCACTGGGAGCAGTGGACAATCCCAGTGCACTATGGGTGGAGGAGGTGGGAGCAGGCTAACCCCGGGCCCCCCACTTACTGCGTGGCCGGAGTAGGTTACTTAATCTCTCTGTGCCTCAGTTTCTTTATCTATAAAATAGAGATGAGGTTGCTACCTCAGAGAGGCCTACATTAAGTGCTTGCACAGTGTCTGACTCATCCATTGTCCGCCACACCTACACAGGAAGCCACTGCTCCTGGTGAGGATGACACGAGGGACTCTGACAGGCCAGCTGCTCGGGGATTGGCAGAGTCTAAGTGCTCAGGAGCTGGTGATTTTAGGAGCAGCTGCTCCTCTTTTCAAGGGACAGTCAAGTGACACCCAGGAGGAATGACACTCAAGGGATTTCACAGAGCCTCTGGATGGGCCCCTGAGCAACCTCTCCATGGTCAGGGGCTGCGGGGCAGAGAAGTGGGGACAAACATTTCAAGCAGAAAAGCACAACATGCAAGGCTGAGGGGCAGGTATCTGAGGGCCCAAACAGCATTTGGGGACCACAGGTTGGGGAGGGGGCATAGGCTGAAGAGGGAGCAGACATGAGGGTTTCAAATGTTTAGATGGATCCTGGAGGCCATGGGGAGAGAAATAACAAAATCATTTTTTGCTTTTAAGGGACTGAAGTGCGTGAGCCAGAAGTCTAGATGAAGATGAAGTCAGAACCAGGACAGAGCTGTCTGGGGTGGAGAGACAGCAATGGGCAAGACTGAAGAGACAAGTTAGCAGAGTGAGAGAGTATGGCGTGAGAAGAATCCAGAATGTCTCCCAAGGTTGTGGTGGGGGACAGAGTTGGTGAGTAGTGGGAAGAGGTGGCATCACTCTCTGATGGCTAACCTATGGGAAAAACAGGGTATTGGGGTAAATGATGGGGTCAGGTACCAGAGGGATGTCTAGGGACAGATGTCTCAGAGGCAGCAGCTACCACTGAGCACATCTCTATGCCAGGCACTAGGCTCCAAGCTCTGCGTTCACCTCCCTGAACCTTCCAAGAAGCTCCACTCCCCAATCTCTCTCTCTCCACTGCTTGTTCTAGCATCATTCTTCCATGACAGGGGAGGTCAGCAGCCTGCCAGAAGAAAGACCGGAGTTTCACGCACATTTAGCAATCGTTTTTTATGTAACATCCGCATTCTTTTTTCGTTGTTGTTTTTTGGGTTTTTCTTGTTTGTTTTTAGCTGAGCCATCCTGCCATCTGTTGGCAGCTCAGCTCAGGCCGTGAATCGAACTGGTGACCCTGTTGCTCAGAGCTCACACTCTTGAGTGAGCTCTTAACCAACTGAGCCAGTCGGCCAGCCCTTAACATCCTCATTCTTAACTGAGGGTGCTTCCAAGTCACTGACTAAACAGAAGCAACTGATAGAGAACATCCATAAGCCCCCAGGACCACCCGTTTGGCCTTTCCTCCTTTGCCTTGGAAGAATGTCTATGCTCCCCACAGAAACAACTTGTTACCTTGTGCTCTGGATCCCAACATCACATTTTCTCTCTCTACTGGATCATTAACAAACACATTCGTTACTACCTCTCCCATCATTCAAACAAATAAACACTCATTCTCTGCAGGCTTTTCTAGTGGAGTTGTCTACTTGTGCCATCTGCATTACCTCCCATTCTCCCTCCACCACCCACCCTATGCTGCTCACCCTAAGAGGCAGTCTCCCCTCCTCAGGGCACTGGACACACTAGTTCCCTTCTCCTGCCCTTCTTACGGGCCTCTCAGGACTCTGCACTCTCATGCCCGTACCTCACTGGCAGCTCCTTTCACTCTCTGCTGCTGCTGCTCCTCCTACACCCACAACTGCTCTAATGATATGAGTCCACAAGCTTAATCTTGGGCCCTTCCCCTCTCTGTATACATTCACCTCCATGGAGATCTCACCCAGCCTCAGGGTTTCAAATGCCTCCTCTACACTGATGCCACCTGACTCTCTGGCCTTGATGTTGTCTCTGAACTGCAGTCTCGCCTATCTACCTGCCTTGGCCACACCTCCACCTGATGCTCACAAACGTTTAAATGTAACCTGTTCAAAACCAAGCTCCTGACATCTCAACCTGCTCTCTCGCAGTCCTCCCCACCTCACCAGAGAGTAAATCCATCTTCCTAAAAACCTTGGACTCATCCTTGATTCCTTTCTCTCTCTGGTCAGACACCCCTATCTGACCCTCATCCTGCTGCTCTACCCCTAAAACACTTTCAGAATCTGACCACTTCTCACCACCTCCAGGGCCAGTGCCCCGGTCTGAGTCTGGAGGCCCAGTCATCTCTGGCCAGGGTTACCACAACAGCCTCCTCGTTGGTCTCCCTGCATCTCCAATGTCCCCCTCCCCCAACCCCCACACACTCCAAATGTAAATTCCACGAGGGGCAGGAATTTTTGTCTTTTCTTTGTATCCTCCGAGCCTAGAACTGCTCATGGTACAGAACTGGCACTCAGGAAATATTTACTGAGTTAATGAATGAATAAATGAATGCCAGGCCCTACACTAAACTACAGTAATGCTGCAATCGAGGTAAGCAAGGTATCTGCCTTTGTGAAACATATTCTGGCGGATGAAGACAAACCCTTAATAAGTTAACTAATAAGCAAAATCATTCCAAATATTGGTTAGTCCTATGAGGTTAATACCAGGGCCAGGTAAACACTGCCAGAATGGGGTACGTCAGATAAGGGTGGAGCGGGAGGGATCCTCTGGGTAAGTCATTTAAGCTGAGGCCTGAATGATGAAAGAAGGCACCATGCATGGTAGTCCAAGCAGAGGGAACAGCACCTGCAAAGGCTCTGAGGCAGAAAAAGCTTTTCTTAAGAAAGAGAAAGAAGACTGGTACAGATGAAGCTCAGTGAACAATATGAGATGCGTCAGAAGATAGAAGCAGCAGTTAGACCCCACAAGACCTTGTAGGCTTTATTAAGATGTATAGTCGGTTCTGTAGTCCATGCTCTCGCCTGCCAGGGCACTGTTTTGTTTTTTTTTCCCGAAGTCCAGCCCTGGGTACCACCTGCAACATAATCATCTGAGCGTGCTCATTAAACGCTGATTTCTGAACCTCACCCCAGATCTCCCCGCAATGGAACATCAGTTCTGGAGGGGCGGGGCATGATTTGCCCACTGTTGAAGCCCCAGCACACACAGTGCCTGGTATGCATTACGCGCTCAATAACTATTTGTTGGAAGAATACATGAGTCTCCTGAATCAGAAGCTACAGATGAGCCCCAGAATCTCATTTTACCCGGTGACTACAGCACCCCCACCCCCACCCCAGGAAAGAGGGCTGGTCTGCATATAAAGCCCCAGGGGCCCCGGCCTGTCTTTCAGTGGCGACTTAAGTCCAAGAGCGCCGAGGTTGGGATGGAAGTGGGGTCGGCCCCTGATTCTATCGTAACTCAAGAGGTAGTGGGTGGGAGGTCCCTCCAGGCTCACCAAGGCTTTGGCGTCGCCTCACGCCCGTAGGAGCCAGGCGAACCAGCAGCCGCACTTAGCTGGCTGGGACCTGGGGGATTCAAGCTTCTCGACTGGCCACCCCCCCAAGCCCGAGGTCCTCGGCGTCTCCTCCAAAACCCCGTGAGCGCCCCCCGAGTCGAAGATCGCCCAGCCCCACCCGGTTCCATCTCCCACCCGCGTGGACAGCTACCTACCTACACTCGCCTTCTCTCGTTGGGACAGCTTCGTTCACCCGAGAGACAGTAACTTCCGGCTCTTAGCGGAAACGGAACCACCTCTCCTCCCACACGTCCCGCCCACCTGCGGCCGGGACCACCCAGCGAGCAGTCACTCCGCCTGCAGCCTAGGCGCATGCGTACTCGCATTCCCGAAGGGAGTGGTGTGTGTGTGGTGTGCCCGGCG